TTATTTATTTAATTACTCGTTAATTGTTTTTTTTATAAGCGTTACCCCTACCTCAACCCTAAACATGTAATGTAAAAATATTATTTGCTGTGCAATGTCACAAAAATTATGCAATATTGACGTGAGTATCCTCAGCTGTATCCCATCTAGACTACACCATGCTGCATGAGAGGGTAAAGTCTTGATGGGATACAGCTGAGGATACTTTTGTCAGTATAGCATAATTTTCGCGACACTGTATAACAAATAATATTCTTAAAGTACTGTGAGGGTTGGGTTTTGGATTAAGGTAGGGATAGATGCTATTACAATATAATTATTGCGTAATTTAAGTAAATTGAGTAATTTATTAAATACTTTTATAAACACTTCTTGTTAACCTCCAATTGCAGCTGTATACCTTCTAGCAACAACGGTGGCGCTCATTACCCGTCGTATAACAAATAGTATGATCATTATTAAGCTGCTTAAAAGACAAAATGTAGGTTCTATCAAATATTTGAGAATTGGATTATTGGAAATTTCACAATATATTTGGAACATTTGTCAATATATACAGAAAAGGGCAAAATACAATATATATACATGGTTACACAAAGAAAAACTTACATAGAAGGGTCAGCTGGAGTTTTTAAAACTTGCATGAAAGTGTTCAAGTTTAATCAAACTGTGTAGATTAAATGTTCCAATTTATATACTCTATATTCACTAAGAAATTGATAAAAATGTTTATTTTTGTAAATATTTTGTATATATGAATTTTTATATTTATTTATTGTATATAAAATTATTATTAAAATATTGTGTTAGTTAAATCTGCTCTGTTTTATTTTATTTATAGTTTTTATAACTTTTTTCGTTGTATATATTAAGCATTTATACATTTTTATGTATTAGGAAGCTACATTCATATTAAGATACATTTGATCAGATCTTGCTTTTTCAGGGGATTGAACCCACAACCGTGTGGTTGCTAGTTCTGTGCTCCTCTATTTACAGGAAGGCTTATTGCTCTTATACAAAGCATTTCGCTTATTTCTGGGGATTAATCTAAGTGAATGGTTGCAGAATTTCTGTTGCTTCTCTTTTAGGGCTTTTTAATGCACACTTTCTTTCTTAGCTTCCTGTTATAAGCTGTAATGGAAAGCCATCGATCCCTGACAAGAAGCAGACTGATGGTGTTTTACGCCTGTGTGAATTTATCTGTGGGAATAAAGCGATTGTGTCTTGCCGTAATGTATTTGTTTAGGCTTGAGGACTTGGTATGACAGTCCTATCGCAGTCACAGTGCGTTTGCTTCATGGCACGCAGTGATTGCAGCTTGAGTTCATTTCTCTGGCATCCTCCATTACAGGGACACGTCTGCTAACTAAATGTCAGCGCAGTCTAAATGTTTTCATTTGTGTCAACTGCAGTACATTGTGCTGCTCATGATGGGAAACGCTTTCTAGAGGGTTGCGGGGAAGAATGAGTAAATCCATCTTGGGATTTGTAGTTTTTTTTTTTTTGTGGTTAAAGTCTTGTGGTACCTAGTGACAGTATGACAGAAGCTCAAATCTATAGAAGCTTGTTTTCACTATTGGATAACAGAAATAGAAAGGATAAATTCCAACTTTTTTATTTCTTAGTTGGGCAGGATCAAGAAAGTCGGAGCTGCTAGAAATAAACGCAGAATTGATTGACTCCAGTTTACATTTTGCAGTGCAGACTTTTGTTCTCAGAATTCAGAGTTTAAACTTTTTCTGACCTTTTGAAGTTCTGACTTTTTAAATGTGATTTTAAATGTTGAATTCAAACCCTTTTTTTTTTTTGGAATTCTGACTTGAAATTTGGAATTCTAACTTTTGTTCTAAAAATTCTGACTTTAAATGTGAAATTCTGCTCCTAAATTGGAATTTCTGACTTAAAGTTTGGAATCCTGCCTTTAAATGTGAAATTCTGACTTTAAATGTGAAATTCTTACTTTTGTTCTTGAAATTATGACATTAAACATGAAATTTAGACTTTTGTTCTGTGAATTCTGGCTTTACATTTGGAATTATGATGTTAAAGTTGTAATTCTGACCTTTTTTCTTTGAATTCTGACTAAATTTGGAATTATGATTTTAAATTTTAAATTCAGATTTTTTTTTTGGAATTCTGACTTTAAATCGGGAATTCTGGTTTCAAATGTGAAATTCTTTTGTTCTTGAAATTGTAACTTTAAACTTGTAATTTAGACTTTTTGTTCTGGGAATTCTGGCTTAACATTTGGAATTATGATGTTAAATGCAGAATTCTGACTTTTGTTTTTGATATTCTGACTTTGAACTTGGAATTCTGACTTAAAATGTGGAAATCTGACTAAATTGGGAATTGTGGTTTTAAATGTGAAATTCTTACTTTTGTTCTTGAAATTGTAACTTTAAACTTGTAATTTAGACTTTTTGTTCTGGGAATTCTGGCTTTACATTTGGAATTATGATGTTAAATGCAGAATTCTGACTTTTGTTTTTGATATTCTGACTTTAAACTTGGAATTCTGACTTAAAATTTGGAAATCTGACTAAATTGGGAATTGTGGTTTTAAATGTGAAATTCTTACTTTTGTTCTTGAAAGTTTGACTTCTTAAATTTAGAATTCTGATTTTATATGTGAAAGTCTGACTTGTTCTTGGAAGTCTGACTTTCAACTTGGAATTCTGACTTTAAATTTATAATTCTGACATTTTTTTTCTTGGAATTATAACTAAATTTGGAATTCAAATTTTAAATTTACAATTCTGTTTTTGAATGTGGAATTCTGACTTTTGTTCTTGAAATTCTCACCTTAAATTTGCAATTCTGACTTTATTTTATGGAGATTTTATGGATTGGTTCTTCTTCTAACATCAAGAGGTGTAGTAAATTTGTGTTAACAGTTGATTGGTCTTCTCTGTCACCTTCTACACAGATGCGTAATCTTGGTGTTCTTTTTGACGCTCCTCTTGAGCCCAGATGCTGAAAGACTTGTCCATGCTGTTATCTTGACTTTAAACTTGTAATTTTGACTTTTGTCTTTGTAATTTTGACTTTTGTTTTTGGAATCTAACTGTAAATTTAGAATTCTAACCTTTTTTTGGAATTCTGACTTTAATCTTGAAAATCTGACTTTTGTTCTAGAACATAAGGATAAGTTTACGTTTTCACTTTGTTATCATAATATATTTATATAAATCACAATTTTCAGAAATTACTGCACTGGAATTGCTCAGATTCGCATTTGCAGTTTTTCTCAAATAGTTCACAAATGCAAAGAAAATGTAAAATAGTTGCAATTATCTTTTCTTAATTTTTAATTTCATGGTTTAAGCAAGCTTCCATCAAAACCAATTATTCATGACAACCAACAACATTGGACGCAGGAAATGACATCTAATAATCACAATAACCTTTTTATAACCTAAAGTCATGAGAAACCAAGATGTTGTTAGGGAAAACCTAAGAACCTAAAACCTAACAACCTAACCCTAACCCTAGGGAATTTAAAAAACATAGAAATAGTTTTGTGGAACTGGAAATAACTTATATTAGTCAAATGTCAAAGTCAGTAGTAAATGTCTATTCGTCTTGGCTCTGTATGAGTGCGATTTCAAATGCTTTCAGAATATTAAGCTTCAGTTATCCAGTGATCATTGTGGAAAGTTATGTAAATGCATTGGTGGAAAGGTTTGGGTTTCACTCTATAATAAAGATGCACTGTGAGTGGTTTTGGATGAGAGCATCTGCTAAAGGACTAAAGTAAGTGGTTGCTTTGGGGCAAAGAGACTCTTGTAATTTCGTTAATAACACTGATTTGCCTTGTCTTGGCATGTGAGGACCATTTGGAGTTTGAACCCACCTTTTCAAGTCCCTCTCCAAGTTTTACTTCTGTTTGGCTGCACCTTAAATTCTGCTTCTGTTCATAGACTGTATTTAACTCCAGTCATTAATGAACGGCCTCATCAAATCAATGGCCATCATGGAATTTTTATAATGAGTCATAAAGTGCCTTAAGAATAAAGAAATGACCCGGAGCTGGGGTAATTACAGGGTGGCTAATGATGAAGTGTTCCCACAATCCAGACTGCTGCTGAGTCGCGTTCTCAGGCTCTCAGCTGGAGCGAGGCTTTCTCAGGTCACTCCAACCTGCTTATTGGCACCGTGTTGGTCTCACACCCTTATTACCCTTTCAACCAGAGCCAGCTGAGCAGGGCTTAAGAGCACCTGGTTTTTCCTTCAGTGATTGCAGGTTATTTCTTAGTCCACAAATGATTAGACTGTAGGACGTTTGTAGAGCAGAACATAACTTCTTTTATGTTGCAGTTGTCCAAGTGGTGTCATTTTCCTACTTTATGATACAGTATACAAAATGGCAGCATTATTTTGACGAAGGCGCACTTATACAATCATTACTTGTTTATAATTTGCCAATTTGCAGGATGACTTGACTTAAATAATAGTAGAACTACTGGCTTATTACCCACCATTTATTAAGATATTGCTGTTTAATAGTACTTCTAAATCCCTAATCATCCCTAATCCTACGCAATACCTAAACCCAACTACCTTAATGTTAAACTGCCTACTATTACCTTACTAAAAGTCTTAGTTGTTTGTTAACAGTGAGAATTGTACCTTTAAAATAAGATTTTTTTAATCTATTGTAAATGTCTATAAACCATTTCACTTGATTTGTGACTGGGTACAAGTAAAGCTATCCCTTTACCAAGATCCTCAGACAGGCCTTGCTCTGTAATCTCACCCATGTCATGGTATCGCTTTTGATCCCATGATTGGTCTAGTGGCCACTTTCCAACCATGTCTTAGGACAGAATTGCTTGTTTGCATTACAGTTTGGCCCTTTAATTGGAAAATAAGACGCGAGAGGTCTTGCTAAAGACGTATTATTTTCACTTTCAATTATATCAACCCAGTTGTGACGTCAATCTATTATTTACAAGTCTAAACCAATCACTAACATCTAGTTTTCTCTTTTACAGATGCAGCAGCTGTTCTATGAGAATTACGAGCCAAACAAGAAGGGCTACATCCGTGATCTCCACAACAGTAAGATCCACAGAGCCATAACCCTTCACCCCAACAAGAACCCACCTTACCAGTATCGGTTGCACAGCTACATGTTGAGCCGGAAGATTGCAGAGCTGCGCCACCGCACCATTCAGCTCCATCGTGAGATTGTGCAAATGAGCCGCTACAGCAACACCGAGGTGCACAGGGAAGACCTTCAACTGGGCATGCCTCCATCCTTCATGCGCTTTCATCCCCACCAACGTGAGGAGGTGCTGGAATGGGAATTCCTCACGGGAAAGTACATTTTCTCATCCTCAGATGGACAGCCTCCCCGTCGAGGCATTGACTCCTCGCAGAAGATGGCGCTGGACGACATCATCATGCAAGTTATGGAGATGATTAACGCCAATGCCAAGACACGCGGAAGAGTCATTGACTTCAAAGAGATCCAATATGGCTACCGAAGGGTCAACCCTATGTATGGTGCAGAGTACGTACTGGATCTGCTGCTGCTCTACAAGAAGCACAAGGGGAAGACTATGACAGTGCCCGTAAGGAGGCATGCGTATCTTCAGCAGACCTTCAGCAAGATCCAGTTCTTGGAAGAAGAAGAGATGGACGCTCGAGTCCTGGCTGCCAGGATCAACCAAGACTCCGACTCGCTGTCTTTCTTGTCCAACTCCCTCAAGATGCTCGTCCCGTTCAAGTTGAGCAGCCCAGGCATCGAACAACACGAACCCAAAGAGAAGAAGATCAACATCCTTGTGCCGCTGGCCGGACGCTACGAGATTTTTCTGCGCTTCATGGCCAACTTCGAGAAGATCTGCCTCATTCCCAACCAGAATGTCAAGCTTCTGATTCTGCTTTTCAGCACGGACAACAACACTGAGCGCATCAAGCAAATCGAGCTCATGAGGGAGTATCGCATGAAGTACCCCAAAGCCGACATGGAGATCAAACCGGTTTCCGGACCATTCTCCCGTGCTCTGGCCCTGGAGGTCGGCTCGGCCCACTTTACCAATGATTCTTTACTCTTCTACTGTGACGTGGACTTACTGTTTACGCCTGACTTCTTGACTAGATGTCGTGGGAATACCATACTTGGGGAACAGACATACTTTCCTATTATTTTCAGCCAGTATGACCCAAAGGTTGTCTACGCAGGGAAGGTGCCCAGCGACAACCACTACGTGTTCACATCCAAAACAGGCCTGTGGAGACACTATGGTTTTGGTATTGTCTGCGTCTACAAAGGAGACCTGGTCAAAGCTGGTGGTTTTGACGTCTCCATCCAAGGTTGGGGACTGGAGGACGTTGACCTTTTCAACAAGTTTGTCCAATCCGGGATCAAGCTGTTCCGCAGTACGGATACCGGCATCGTTCACGTGCATCACCCTGTGGTTTGCGACCCCAATCTTGATCCCAAGCAGTACAAAATGTGCCTGGGATCCAAAGCATCCTCGCACGGCTCCACGCAGCAACTCGCAGAGCTATGGTTGGAGAAAAACAACCACAGCTTCCGAAAGATCTCGAACTCCAATAATGAATCAATGAGGACAGAATAGACCTGGCAAGTGCACATTGTCCATCCGTCTTCCTCTTAATGGTGTTTTTTAAAACTACCTTATTTATTTTTTACAGGAAAAAGACTTCTGTGGATATATTTTGAAATAATAACTGGTTTTGTAAACTGTACAGGAGCAGGTCGTCACCTTCAGACTTGATCTTTTTTAAGTAGCGTTTCAAATAACACAACAGTGACTTAAAGAGGACGATCTATTTTACAAATCCAATACTGAGCGTTATATTTATGGCACCTCAAAAACAGACTGCTGTGGACCTCGCCAGAAAAAAAATGCTTTGAAATGGAGTCGAAGAGGGAGTTTGGACACGGACTTGTGTGGTGTCTGGCAAAATGGTAAATGTTTATTTGTGAATGTTTACAGAGAGCGATGAACAAGTGATTCATTCTTGGTGAAGGGGATCTTTAGAATAACAATCTTAATTCTGACAATTAAGGGCCATTGATCAACAGCTTCTTTTCGGTTCGTTTTTTCCAGTTTACTTGTCTGGAGTTGGGAGGGGGATCCATAATAACACTGTTTTGTTTTTATCGCTTTTGATTTATTGTTTTTATTGACTTCTGTGAATGAAACTGCTGGCTGTTGATCTCTCCTACTCATTCCCACTGTCTAATTTATTGAGCGTTCAGTCTTCGGGGCTGAGGTTGTGTATATTAGAGATTGTATAACCGTTTCAGTCATGGATAGTGTTTTTGTTCCCTCTCTTGATCTTGAATTACTTTAATTACCAAAGACTTTCTTTCTTTTTTTTTTTTGCACAGTTGCTGTAGGTGATATTTGTTCAAGAGTGCTTGTTTTTGTGTGTGCGTGCGTGTATGAGTCCAAATGCAAGACAGTAGAGCAGGAAAAAACATGTAATGTACTGTAGGATGGAGGTACCGATGACTATTCAACATGGCCCTATGAAAGTATGCCGACAACAAGCCACTTAAAGAGATTTTCTCATTTCATATGATCAGATTTCATTTACTCCTCTTGGTTATTTAAATTTTTTGATTCAGTTGGCCTTTCTCCTGTGATTGAGCCATGCACCCTGTGGGGACAACGGCCGTAACGCGGCCTCGCCTTCAGATTCGAGGACGATCTCCCACAGTAGTCTCTCTTTCTGTTGTCTTTTGTTTTTCTCTGGGGCGTTTTCATACTTCAGTTCTTTGTTAGCCCCCATACAACTGGGACAAAGTTTTATATTTAATAAAATGGAAAATGAAAAAGCATTGTGTTGCTTGATGTTTTGATTGAGCCATGCTTTCAATTCATCTTTATTTCTATAGCGCTTTTACTATGTAGATTGTGTCAACTGTGGATTGTGACTTACTGTTTACTCCTGACTTCTTGACTCGATGTCGTGGGAATACCATACTTGGGGAACAGATGTACTTTCCTATTATTTTCAGCCAGTATGACCTAAAGGTTGTCTATGCAGGGAAGGTGCCCAGCGACAACCACTACGTGTTCACATCCAAAACAGGCCTGTGGAGACACTATGGTTTTGGTATTGTCTGCGTCTACAAAGGAGACCTGGTCAAAGCTGGTGGTTTTGACGTCTCCATCCAAGGTTGGGGACTGGAGGACGTTGACCTTTTCAACAAGTTTGTCCAATCCAGGATCAAGCTGTTCCGCAGTACGGATACCGGCATCATCATCAGCAATTCATCTTCATTTCTATAGCGCTTTTACAATATAGATTGTGTCAAAACAACTTAAAATAGAAGTTCTAGTAAATTGAAACCGCTTCAGTCCCGTTTTCAGAGTTGAGGTTCAGTTTAGTCTGGTTTAATATTTATTGCTGAAAGTCCAAACGCTGAAGAGCAAATCCATCAAGACACAGCTCCACAAGTCCCAAACAACAAAAGTCAGTGGGGACATTGGCGAGGGACAAACTTCACCAATTGACAAAAGTAAAGGAAAAGAAAAAAGGATTTATACCAATTTGTTTCCATTTTAAGTCTGTTTGGAACAATCTTTAATCTCTATTCAAAACTGACTAATATTTACAGTAATGTATGGAGACCTCAAGAACTTTGAGAGAAGAAAAGTTTTGGAAGATTTTTAGAAAAAATAAATCTAAATTGTGAGAAACTTGAATTGCAGAATATAATTCCGAAATTCCAATATAACTACACATTGAGGAAAGTCAGAATTGAGATATTTAAACTAGGACTGTGCGATATGGCAAAAAAGCAAACTCAATAATTAAAATGAAAAGTGAAAACTATTAGATGTAAATTGTTCGATGTTTTTCCCCATGCAATTCTAAGTTTGTCGCAGGGCTTGGCGATACAGCAAAAATGCAATATCGATAATTATATTCTATATTGAACAATAACGATGTATATTTTAATGGAAGTTGTTAGTGCTTCCACTTCTAAAAGAGTATCCAACCATGACTGAAGGTGGATACTGCAGACGGGAAAGTGTACTGTTAGTGTGAAAAGTGAAATGAGCACGCTAAACAATACTGTATGGTGCAGCATGACCTATTTTCAGCTGATAATTTTAAACTGTAATATAGATTCCTGCACATTTCTGCTCTGGACATTTTAACCGATATTGATCCTAAGAGCCAATCACAGAGTTTATCATCGTTATCAACATTGTATATCGCGATTCGATATGATATCATTTATCAGCCCAGCCCTAATCTAAACTATATTTTGTGTAAGTAAAAGTCAGAACTGCTCATAAAACCTCTAAGAAGAAAAGTGAAAATTATTAGATGTAATTTGTTCGATGTTTTTCCCCGTGCAATTCTAAGTTTGTCGCAGGGCTTGGCGATACGGCAAAAATGCAATATTGATAATTATTTTCTATATTGAACAATAACGATGTGTATTTTAATGTAAGTTGTTAGTGCTTCCACCTCTAAAAGAGTATCCAACCATGACTAAAGGTGGATACTGCAGACGGGAAAGTGAACTGTTAGTGTGAAAAGTGAAATGAGCACGCTAAACAATACTGTATGGTGCAGCATGACCTATTTTCAGCTGATAATTTTAAACTGTAATATAAGTGAATCACAATTATAGATTCCTGCACATTTCTGTCTGCTCTGATTTACTCTTAGGATCAATATCAAGTAAAAATGTCCAGAGTTTATCATTGTTATCAACATTGTATTGCGATTCAATATGATATAATTTATCAGCCCAGCCCTATTCATAACTGTATATTTTGTGTAAATAAAAGTCAGAACTGCACATAAATCTCTAAGAAGAATTCTAAGAAACGTGAAAATCATCAGATGTAAATTGTTCAATGTTTTTCCCCATGCAATTCTAAGTTTTTCCCAGGGCGATACGGCAAAAATGCATATTATATAATATTTCCATATTGAACAATAACGATAAATATTTCAATATCAGTTGTTTATGCTTCCAAATTTAAAAGAGTATCCCTACCCTGACTGAAGCCACAGAAATTAGAGGGTCCATTAAAATAGCATAACATATTTTCAGAAAATTAACAGATAATTTGGTGAAACTCTATTATCAATACCCTTCTAGATTCCCATTGTTGCATATTTCTGCTGTGCTCTTGGAATCAATATCAATTCAATATGATATTGCTTATCGGCCCAGCCCTATTGTAAACTATATTTTGTGTGGGTAAAAGTCAGAACTGCACATAAAACCTGAACGAATGCTAAGAGCAAAAGTGAAAATTATTAGATGTAAATTAATAGATTCTTTTCCCCATGCAATTCTAGGTTCGTCGCAGGGCTGGGCAATACGGCAAAAATGCAATATCGCTATTCATTTTCAATATTGAACTAAAATTATATATATATATATATATATATATATATATATATATATTGTTATCAGCTGTTAATGCCCTAAATGGCATAACATATTTTTTGTCAGAAAATTCAGTACTTTTTTTAATATCAACACACTTTTAGATTCCCATTGCTGCATATTTCTGCTGTGTGATTGGACATTTTTGCTCAATATTGATCTAAAAGACAGAGTTTATCATCGTTATCACCATAAATTTTATTGCGATGTAATATGATATTGTTTATTGGCCCAACGCTTATGTAAACTGTATATTGTGTGTTAATAAAAGCCAAAACTGCAAATTGCCAATGTAAATTAAGACATCGGAAACAAAACAAACTGCAGGATAAACTTAGAATTGCATGGGGCAAAAAGTCAAAATTGTGAGAACATGAATGTCTGCTGTGTCTATCAACTAACATGTAAAACTCTGTAGTGCTTACATGAGTTATTCCATAAAGAACTGTTATTCGATGTGTAAAGTCATCTAAATCATGCTCTTTTCAAGGGCTTCAAGCATTTATGCGTTTAGCAGATGCTTTTATCTGAAGTGACTTTTATGCAATGATGAAAATTTCAGCAGCATGCATTTTCCCTGAGAAACAAAGCACTGACCTCGGTCGAGCACATGTGTGTAATTCCTCTGGATCTGCCTGCATATAAACAGTCACTCGTTGCTGTCATTGAAAGTTTAACTGGTGTACAGGCTTTACTTTAGGATGTGAAAATGTTCTACATTGTACTTCATTTATTTTCTTTTCGACTTAGTCCCTTTATTAATCTGGGATCGCCACAGCAGAATGAACCGCCAACTTATCCAGCACATGTTTTTACACAGCGGATGCCCTGTGAAACATCCACACTCATACACTACAGCCTATGTAGTTTATTCTATTCACCTATAGCGCATGTGTTTGGACTGTGGGGGAAACCAGAGCACCCGGAGGAAACCCACCGCAACACGGGGAGAACATGCAAACTCCACACAAAAATGCCAACTGACCCAGCCAGGACTCGAATCAGCGACCTCCTTGCTGTGAGGTGACACCTTTCAGGATCTTTAATCATTTAAATGCAGTCTTAGCAAGAAAACAGAGACTGTTTTTAAAATATTATTTTCCATCAGTATTATTAATCATGTGTGCTGCGATGGGAATATGTTCGCGTGCATGTAAATAAAGCATCTTCTAATCATGCAGGCAGCATTTGGGAGCGCTTTAATGCATTAAAATGCAGCGTGTGTAATTCAGCTCATGAGCATGTGGATCAGAACCCTCAGAGAGTGGCACAGAGAAAAAGCAGGTATGGCTTATTTGTTTTAAATAAAGTTATTCGGTCAGCAGCAGAAACGGCAGATGGATTCAGCTCTTCTCTGCTGACGTGGGAGTTTGTTCCTGAAGGTGACTCTTGTTGGCCGCTGGAGTTTTGGGGCCTCCTTTAATTACCTGGAATGTTTGCCGCTCGCCATCCAGTCCACATCTCTGAGAAACACCAACCAGGAGACTTGTTAAAAATGTATTATTTTTGTAATTTTATTCAGGGTAATCATTAGATACCTCTAGATGAAAAGATATAAAACAAGCAAGTAAATAACTGGGTAAGAATAAAATCTGAAAGAGTGGTAAAAATCAGGCATTTCTTTTTCTGGATTGCTTTTTAAAATGCTTTTTGTTGGGTTTAGGTTGAAGGGATCGGTCTGTTGGGTTTAGGGTGGGGGGATCGGTCGGTTGGGTTTAGGGTGGGGGGGATCGGTCTGTTGGGTTTAGGATGGGGGGGTCGGTTGGTTAATCAGCCAGAAAGTCAGTCAGTCGACTGCAGCCTCTGGTGGATTTACACGAGAACAGCAGACATGAATAGTAATCGTGAGATAAATTTGAGATCTGATAAAGCGTACAGAGCGGATTCGCGAAAACAAAAACTGCAAGAAAACGTAGCTCTGGGACTTATTTTGCTGTCTCCAGAAATGTATATAGTGGTACGTAATCAGAATGAACCTGGGTTGCATGACACCAGATTGACATTGTACCCCAATGTCGGGTCGTTTCATTTTGTTTGGAAATGAAGATCGAGATTACATTAGAACCCAACGTCAGGCCGATGTCAATGTTCAACGTCCAACCTGAAATCAACCAAATATCAACGTCTAATGATGTTACAGCTTGACGTTGTGTCGTTACCAATATGACATCATGCTGGATTTTGGTTGCCATAACTGATGAATAAATGTCAGTATTTGACGTTGGTTTAAGATGTTGGATTTTGGTCAGTTTCTAACACAACCTAAAATCAACCAAATATTAATGTCATTTGACATCGTTTTTGCACATCAAAATAATGTTGTCCTTAGATGCTGACAAGACATTGAATTTTGGCCTCCAATCACCAACAACGCCAACTTAATTTTAACGTCTTATAACATTGTGTGCCTGCTGG